CTCTCTCTCTCTCTCTCTCTCTCTCTCTCTCTCTCTCTCTCTCTCTCTCTCTCGTTCTCCATCTCAACATGCAGAGCTTCGCAGCGCGTACCTTGATCTCGCGCATGCCGAGCGCAGAGCTCGTCTCCAGCTTGACGATCGCCTTCGTCGCCGACAAGCTCCCGCCTTCCATCCCGATCATGAACCCAGTCTTTCCCTTGTCCGGGCCCGCCACCAAGAGCACCTGGGTTTACCCGAAGGGGATGGGGAGGGGGGGGGTAACGTGTTGACTGAATAGCCTCGAACAACCTGCCACGCATCCCTCTCCAGGCACGCACGGAGGCCGGGAAGGGGATGTAATCAAATGTAATCATGCGACCGTATGATCAACGTGGCTGGAAGAACAGAAATATATAACTTCGTCCGGAAAACACCAAGCCACCTATAGGAATGCAGCAGTAGCTGCTTTCACCGACTACATAAAACTCGAGCGCATCAGAGCACTCCTAGGCCCAGAGCAGCAAAGGGCACTCAGCCGAAACGGTCAGGTCTCGCTTTGATTCAGCCCCCGCCTTTGCATACGGTATTCGACGCGGGAGATGATGCCATCACGGTTACCGACGCGAGCCAAGCGCCTCGAAGAGCCCCGCCGCTACAAGACAGTCCCGTGGAGAACACGAATCCTCGCCGATGCATGTCACCTCTTCGTCCCCCTCTCTCTCCGCCGCCTCGCCCCTCCCATTTCTCCCTTCGACACGTCGTTGTATGTTTCTCTATCCTGTTCTCTCCCTTCAACTTCTCCTTCGCTGTCTCCCCCCCCGGCCGGCTCTCTTATCTCTCGTACATGTCTCTCTCTGTCTGTGTTGCGTGTCTCTCTCTCTTTGTCTGTCTCTCTCACATTGTCCTTAATCTTGGGAGGGTCCTTGCTGGGAGGCACGTACTTGAGGCTGCTGTTGGCCACATTCGCGTAGAAGCCCTCCGTGGACGTAACCGAGTCGTACCCATCGTACAGGTTACCGGCCTGCCAACACAAACACGCCGGGGAAGGGGAAGGGAAATTAACCAAGAGACGAACGCGCACTATACGAGATTCGACACCAACAAGGAGCAGCGCAGACGCAGCAACAGCAAGCAAATGGAAGCTGCATTCCCTAGCCTGAAATCTACGAGTAAGGATGTTTTTCATCGAACAGCTGCAAAAAAATGCTGTTGGTGTGTGCTTGTAAGCTCCCCCTACCCTACCGTTTCACAATCCCAACGTTTCCTTGGTAGCCGCACACTTGGTAGTCTCTTCTCTCGAGACGATCCTGCGCCCGAGAGCACAACGTCCGGAGATCACCGCCCGAACCGACAGGAATGCGCAGAGAAAAAAAAAACATCGAAACTTCCTGCAACCGGGATACAGGTATCCACGCAGTCACCTCCCACCCCCTACGGAGCCCAATTCTCAGTACGAAACCACACCCGTTCGGTGCAACATCCACAGCCAAGTGGAGCCGCTCTCTCTCTCTCTCTCTCTCTCTCTCTCTCTCTCTCTCTCTCTCCCTCTCTCTCTCCCTCTAAAGTACCACGTTTCTCAAGGAAATCTCACCCTTTGTTCCCGATTACATACATACCTTGAGATACCTGTCGTAGGCCACAGACATGGCCGCAAAGGCTGACTGCGCCTCTTTGCTGTTCTGCTGCTCCGCCGCTCGCTTCAGGCGCTCGACTGCACCGTAGAATCGGCCGACTTCGTACCTACGGGTACAGCAATTATCCCGACAGAGACAGACCAACAGCAGATGGGTGGTTGGTTGATTCCGTCAGGATTGACTTGGTGCGGCTTGTCGAGAACAGGACAAAAAACATACATATGGGGCAAAGCAAACTGATAGAACACATGGCGTGTGGAGGTGGCCGTGGTCGTGTTTTCGCGTTGTTCAAGACGCCTCTTTTTGTTTCTCTCAGAGAAGAAAACACCCGCGCTTTCCTTTTGGCGCTCGGAAGAAGATGCACGCGTTCATGTCATCTCTGCCTGTCGCCCTGGCCACTGGTCAGTGGGCTCACCTGAGCGCGACCCTCGAGGTGGTATCGACGGGGTCGTCCGTCGGGAAGGCGGCATCCGTGTACTTCGTGAACACGGGCACCAGCGTGCGGAACGCGTTCGGGTAGGTCGTTACCAGGTCCCAGTCCTGCCGAACGAGTACCAAAAAAGAAACCAAGAGTGCGCGCCACGGTAAACAAATACGACAGTCCTGCTACAATCGAACAAACACAATCAAATCGCCAAGGGTGTTCCTAGATAAAATCGCGCCGAAAAATGCGAACGGGCCCCGAGGGCAGGGAGCCTGTTCGTGCACACTGGGGGACGAACAACAACGCCACATACTGACGCGCAAGCAGTGCACGCGGACGGCGCCCTTCGTTTGATCACCGCATCTTTCGGTGGTGGCCGCAGTACCCAACCGTCGACCTCTACTTAACACACCGTAGGTACAAGGGGGCCGTGCCGGGCGGCGCTAGGGGCGGACTGGGGAAAATCCGTGAACGGCCGACCGGCATCGCAACAGGGGGTTACGGCGGTGTTGCGCCTTCCTCGGGGCAAGAGGCGCCTACGGTTACATCGTTTCTCTCGAATTTACCGACCGGTCACGGGTGTCGCCGCACCAAGCAAGGACACAACGGGGCAAAATCTTCCAACTCAGGAGGCAGTGGAGCTCGTGCCCAACCCTACCCTCCAACCACGTCGACGCTAGCGGAACGTGTCCCCTACTACACGAAGAATCTTTCGTCCTCAAAAGCCGCAACCGAGCAATAACGAGAAGGTAGCAACACAAGCGCCGGGAGCGAGAGAGAGCGTCTGGGCATGTGCCCATCAATACACGGAGTGTCGGGATGCGCCAGCCCCCCAAGCACAGACGTCGCTATCATCTTTGGTATGGCTGCTGTGCTCTGGCCCCGCCTGCCATGTGTGTCTCACGTTGTTCGCGATGTCGTCTTGCAGCTCGTCCAGCATCTTCGCCGCTCGCCGGAGCTTGTCGCCGAACCTCAAGCGCATCACCTCAACAGCCGATCCCGCCTGCGCTTTTGCGGGGCCCGCGCCTGTCGCCCCTCCCACTGCCAAGGCGGCCAGGCTCAACCCCGCTTGCTGCACAGGATGGAGGCAAGGGCACTGAAAATGTTAATGGCGCGTATGTTTCTCAAGCATTACGTCTACCACGGACGCTTGAGGCTACACCCAATAATGTGGCACTACGAGGCCTGTGTATCATCCATGAGTCAGAGATAATCGATCTGGGGTGCTTGACTTCCTTCGGTCCTTACAATATCACGAGACCGGTTCAGCAATACTTCCCTCTTGTCAAATGACTTGATGACTTCGTCGCTGTACAAGGTCAGACGACACGAGAGAACAGACTCGGGGCAACTACAGACAACAGCAGAGAACGCCGAGATGCAAGCAGAGGAGAGAGTGTGCAGCATCATGTCGCACTTGGGGTACTTGGATACAAGATCCGATCTGGAGAGTATGTGTGTGTGGGGGCATGCCATTGGGTGTCAAAGTGCGGGGCCCCTCGAGAGAGAGAGAGAGAGAGAGAGAGAGAGAGCACACATGTCTTCACTGACAGAATTTTTTCTCTGTACTTCTATGTGCTGGAAGGAGCACGGTGTGATAATCAAGGTGTTTTCATCTACATCGGTCCTGAATAAACAGAGTCCCCAGACTCTACACAAGTATTCAACGTGTTAGCAACCTCCGCGCCTTCCCGCGGAGGCTACCGCGCCTTCTCACGGAAGGATGAATTAGAGTTTGGCGACCATGTTAACCCAGCACCGATGAAGATGACATAAACCTTGATTATTACACCGCGCTCCTTCCTGCAAACACAAGTATAGACATGACGAGACAACGAGCCGAATAGTAGAAACATGTGCGTGCTCTCCCTCGAGGGGCCCCGTACTTGGACCCCCAACAGCATACCCCCCCCACATACTGCTGTCCAGATCGGATCTCGAATCCAAGTACAGTCGAACCTCGCTTAAGTTAACGAAAATTAAGTTAACTCCCCCAGTAAAGTTAACAATTTTTTTCGGAAACATGGTGCCCCGCAGAAAGTATTGCATACAGGGGGGGTAAAAATACAGTCCACGGACCCCCTCAAAACCAGCAGCAGCAGCAGTGCTCTCACTGCTCTGTAGACCGCCAATAAGAGGTCTGCTGCTGCACCTGCTGTCTGTGGGTATGGAGAGATTCCTTCCATCCAGCGGTGCATCGTCTGCGCCTGGCAAAAAACGATGCGAGGAGCCTACATGCACGGTACCGGACTCCACGGACGATGAAGATGGTGGGGGTAGACCAGAGTCGTGCGTAACATCTTCGATGACAGAGGCCGAAGTTCGCGGTAGCCTAGAGAAGGTTTGCTCCTACTTGTACGCGAACGGAAAGGATGGGGAGTACCGCGAGACCCAGTACCTGCTCTCGAAAGTTGTGCATTCGTTCACTCACGAAACTCAAGTGAAGCGGCGAGCCAAGGAGGGGGGGGAGCTGCAGGCAACTCTGCGCGACATGTGGAGGTCGTAGAGTGTGCGGTACAAACGACCAGAGCTGTGTTTGGGGTGGCCTATGTATGTCTTGAATGCGTGGGACCGCATGAGACTACTACACAGGAGTGGCTGTACATTGCGATCGACGAGAAATGTGTGCGTGGGTTCAAGCGTTCCAACATAGCATCTTGGTTATAGTGTTGTTTAGTAAAATGGACATAAAAATATGCTCCCTCTCACTTTTTTCAGTCTCCTCTCTCGTCAAACACGTAGTGGAGCCCAATGCGCGTCTATTGAGGTATTCACCGCCTCTATTGGCCCCGGGGATGGTGAGTTGTGGTCCCCTGAATTTTAAGTTAACTTCCTCGCCTTAAGTTAACTTTTTTTCGGGAAAAACCATGTGTTAACTTAAGCGAGGTTCGACTGTACCCCAAACATGTCGGGGCGGCGGAAGGGTAGGCGCTGCAGGCAGCGTAATAATGCCAACGGGAGTGGGTTGTGTGCGGCGACATGGCTTGTCTTCGTTACCGCCTGCTCCTCCCCTGCCTTGCTATATGCACCACCACTGATTTAATCGCAGCTGAAACAGCAAGATGGCTGTCAACTTACAGCAAGAGCCACACGCACACATGCTAGTACTCGCGTCATGTGGCGGGTGAGAATATCTGAACGGGGGCAAGAGCCCCCTGAGTACCCCCCCCCCGGGCGGCCCGGTTGTCTAACCCTAGCACCATACCAAACCACGCCAGTCGTTTAACTACCAGCAAGCAGGCTTCCTATGCCGGTTGAGCACACCTTGAAGAAGTCCTGTCTAGAGACACCGCCGCCGCCGTCCATCACGACTGTTGTTCGGGTGCCCACGCTGCTTCCGTCGCCACCATTGCTCCCTCGGCACGCCGTGCGTTGTGTCCGCGCTGACGCGTCCGTTTTGGTGGCGGCGGTGCTCGCGCCGTCTCGCACCGCTGCTACTGCTGTTGCTCTTTGCAGAGGAGCGCCTTGGAAGAGCGATGCTTGGAAGGCGGCGGTGCCCGAGAGGCACCCTGAAGATCCATCACATAGTCGGAGTTTGTGGAAAGGGGAAAGCGTGCGTGCAGAGTACAAGGTTTAGCATGCCTACGGTGCCTTGCGATTTAAAGGGCATGGGTACGGACGGGGAATCCGAAGTCGACCAAAGCTGCAAATAGGTTCAACTTTCGGTAGTTGGCCGTGATACGTATGCCCACCAGACTTCTTTGGTATAACCATAATAGGGTTGGAATAAGGCGGGGTCGATTGGTGCAACCCTTACCCTGGCCTTGCTGCTGCTAGCGCATGCAGGCGTGTTCACAGCTGACTTTGCTTCCTGTACAACATTCACGCGGTTTCGGTCGCCTCTTCTTTTTACTTCACATTGCTCTGTTTTCACCTCTATCCGTATACAGGTAATTCCAACACAAGTTGGTCCTCGCACACGCTTTCCGCGCAGTGATATCTCCCCTGCGGGTAACAGGCTCAACAAGGCAGTTTGTGCGCGCCATCTTGCATCTTGTCTATCGGACTGCTGCAGTGCCTCTGTCCAGCAGTCAGTATTATATAGTACGTCGCAGGTAGAAAGGTACGATACCTTGAGGGAAGAATTCTGCTCCGGGGTACCTGCTGTTACACTGCACGATGTGGATCCAATACATGTATCAACTGCTGCGGACTATGAATACAGAACGAAATACGAAGCCTCATCTCGATGCCGAACAGATTAAGTACATTGCGCCCGGTTGGGCGTATTGCTTGTCACACGTGGGCCGTGAGCCTGCTGGCTGTGGCAACACGCCCACCCACGGCGACGTTGTACATGTAGTCTACAGATGACGGGAGCATGAAAGTTGCATGTGCTGGGCCGGCGTGTTTGCGTACGTTGCACCTTGTCTTGAACCGTCTCGTCCAACAACAATTATTGAAAGCTTCACAGTGGCAGACAGGATAAGGATACCGAATTCTTCTCTACTATGTGACACACTGCTACTGAAGGCTTTCTCCATATGTTAGAGGCTACATGCTGTAGGTTTACGACCAAGGCCAGCACATGCACATCCCTTCCTCCAGCTGACAGGTGAATGGCAACAGGTGGGGATGTCAGCACGTCAGTTCAGATTCAAAAGTTGGAGTTGGCCAGATACTGAAGTACAACTGGAATCCGCTCAATTGTGAGAGTAATCCAGCAGCAAGACAACGCCTTCCTCGAAGTATAGGTCCGGAAAGGCTGTGAATGTCCTGAACAACTGCTGCTGCCGCATGCCACAAGGTTCATGCGTGTGTGTCGCCAGCTGCAGTCCAGAGGAGGAAGGGGAAACAAAACACTGCTTGACATCCTGAGTCCTCTCACACCACGCGTAGAAGAGTATCGCCCAAGCGCTCTCTATCACAACGCACCTGCACAAGCTAAGGATACTGCTGATGCTGATACCCTCATCGTTCTCCGGGGACAGCGGAAGAACACCTCACACGTCACACGGACCAAGAGGAGTATATATGATATATCATGGCGCCATGTGGAACGGATTCCCCGTGGCATTTTTCACCCCCCCCCCCCCCCCCCCCCCCCCCNCCCCCCCCTGTTGGAACTACACCTGTTGTTCACTAGCCCCCATCGGCAGGGTGAACGTGTCCGGTGCGGGTAGTCCGTTTTCACACACGTGGAGGGCCATGCACATAATCGAACGCTGGTCCACTATTTATGCGCGGGCATCCCCAAAATAGAAAGGAGAATGTGATAAAATGTGGCCGCCGCAGGGATGGGTACCGTAGGTACACACGATACCACACCCACACCGATTTTCGACGCGCGATTAATGAACTTCATGACGAAAAGACGGTACTGTATAAAATGAATCGATGCGACCTCGGATGGCTCTCGACGAGACGGCTCAACCGCCACCGTTATTGGCACTGCCACTCTCTCTGCTGTGGAGGCCAGCTTACAAAAAGAAAGAAAACATCTGTTAGTCAACAAGTAATCTGATGCAGGTGGAGGAAACATCGCGTGTACACAACAGCAGGTATGTCTGATGCAGGTGGAGGAAACATCACGTGTACACAACAGCAGTAGTAGCTCCATGTCCAAAGTTCATCCACCCGTCTAGAGGCTGTGCCATCAAGTATGATGACAGGGTTTGCGTTGTACCGCGAGAAAAACCATCAATTTCGTTAATATACTTACTCCATCTACGGTGCCGATAGAGATGAAGATTGGTGTTTTTTATCAACCTTCCGTCGCCAAACAAACGTTGTTTTGGACGTCGGGGGTTCACAAGGCGTGGGGCGGTGCCCACAGCGAACAGCACGGCACCCGCCCTCGCAGCGCTTGACAACCCAGCCCAGGACGTCGGAGAACTGGGAAAGGAAATCCAAACCTCCGAGCCTTCTGTTCTGCCACCGCAGTATCAGGGACAGACGCCGAAGCAACCGAAGGACAAGAAAATTCTCGAAGTAGTGACAACACGGCCTGTAAAAAACTACGTAATCGCATTTCACAACAGCAGCGACTGGATTGGGCATGGAACTGGCAGCGACGCCACCTACAATACAACACACCGCCGCCGTGGATATCGCCCGAAACGAACCAACGAACACGAAATCTCTGACGCGACGACCCACATGAAAGTGCGCACACACACCGAGAGGGTGCGAAAAACACGATCGATCCCACAGCACTTTCCTCTGCCATGCTGGCTGCACCAGGTGGCCTGCTCTGGTCTAACAACAACAAAATCAGCATCACATAATCTACAAGACACAGCCGAAACATGCACAATAAATTATATCAGTCCACTCACACACCGACGAATAAAGTAGCACTACATGCGTGTTTAGTGTAACGTTGCTTCTCTAGAGCCAGCTCGATCAGTGCCGAAGGTTATACTTGCAACAACCGCCACATCTCAGAATCTCACATGCACGCCACGATAACAGTAGTGGGCTCAGCGTAAAGCCTGCCCGAAACACGATGATGACATGCACTACACGCCTGCCCGAAGCTCCCTCCCCCACTCCCCCACCAGCTGCCTCTAATGTGACGGGCGGCACCCTCGGACAGAGGAGCATCCTGCATAGGCCAACCGTTTCAAAGCTTCCGCCATAAGCGGAAGGCGCGCGCTCTTGCTCATCTCCTTTTGCTGGGGACGCCAACGGCAGTCACGGGTATACCGCTGGGCACCACCTGTTCGCATTGTACTTGGTGTGTCGCACCCACACCCCGTCTTTTTCGACTGCATATCACCGCTATGCCCCTCCCCCCCCCCTGGTGAGAGCCTGGTCCGGTAAGAACCCGGCGTGCTCCGTCCCGGCTTTGTAGGGATGCGAGGTCAATGGCTTAACGACTACGGCATGCACGACTATGAGTACACCCCCCCCCCTGGTGATGAACATGAGAGTACGCCCCCCCCCCCCTGGTGATGTGCTAGTCTGGCCTGGCGAAAACCCTGCTCCGTCCTGGTTTCGTAGGGACGCGAGGTTGATGATCAAACGGCTACAGCATGCACGGCTGTGAGTAACCTCCCGCTCTGCTAACCTAGGAATTGACACAGCACGGAGCCTCCCCAACCCAGCCGTACGAAGGCCATGCCATTCACAGCTGCGGAGTCGAATCCGGACGCGTAGCCTTGGCCTCCACCAGGATGTGTCGAATCTCCTCGTGCACCAGCTTGTTGCTTCCGATTATGGCTCGAGTCGACAGCGAGTAGGGGCCGCCGAGGATGTCGGTCATCTCCCCGCCGGCTTCCTGGATGAGAAGCGCTCCCGCAGCGATATCCCACGAGTTCTGACGCGTTTTGAGCCGGACAGCATTCAGGTGGGCCGCGGAAAATCAAGACTGGCCCCATGAGTGAGTGTGGAAAACGTCGGTGCCGGGTAGCTGACACCAACTGATGTTGAGACTGGTCAACGGACTAGTTGCTGGGTGTCTTACAACGACAGCACATAAAGCCGGGGCCTCCCTTCCTCGTGCCGTCGACAAATACCATGGTACATACCGTAGGAGGCGGAGAGAGGGCGCCCCTCCCTTGACCGACTTTCAAAGCTCGATTGCTCCAAAACCAAGCTTGTGCCAAGGCCAAAATGGTCTTGGAAACATCTCGTCGAGGGCTTTTGGTAGACACATCGGGCTCTTTCCGCACCCACTTCGTTGTGGAACAATCGAGGTTTGAATGTCGATAAAGGGTGGTCCCATCTCTTCGCCTCCTACGGTATACTGTACGTCCGCGACTTGGTACCTACCGACGTCTTCGCCGAGAGGAGTGAGTGTGTCGCTGAGGTTGTCTAGGTATAGCAGCTGATAGACGGCGACAGTCCCCCCGTAGTACAAATCTACGTCTGTCTCGCCCCTTCCTCACCAGATCAGGCTCCCAGTAGCACGTCAACCGTCCGCACGCCACCCAGGCAAGCATGATGGCTGAAAATGGTGGGTGGTACAGCATGTAGCGGAGACGGAGAGAGTGAGAGAGAGAGAGAGAGAGAGAGAGAGACAGAGAGAGAGAGACAGAGAGAGAGAGAGAGAGAGAGAGAGAGAAAGAGAGAGAGAGAAAGAGAGAGAGAGAGAATGAGAGAAAGAGAGAATGAGACAGAGAGAGAGAGAGAGAGAGAGAGAGAGAGGGACCCACACATCAGTTCGGGCTTCATTCATAGGGGTGGTACGCGCCAGCGTAGGTCTGAGAAGCGGGGGGAGGCAATGGAGATGCTGCATGGAACAAAATACTCAGGTCTAGCATCGACACCTCTTTATCGCCCGCGTTCGATGGTCCTGCTCCTAGCAAACACTAATATTATCCTCGAACAACTCGTGCGCCCGAAAAGCAAAGGAGCGGCGGAGAGAGCGGGATTCTTGTGAGGCTCCACAATCACTCTCCAGGCATCGAAACCTCTCTCAACTGCGGTTGGTGAATCAAAAGCAACAAAGAATCGCCTCTGGACCGCAAACGCGCGCAATAACCAGCGGTCCGCTCTCCGAGACATGCATCCCCCCCTCATGCCGTAGCAAACTACAGCAGTAGACTCCAAATTTCGACACGCAATAACTAGGACTCGTTTCTACTAGTTTCGTGGGGGGTGCGCCTCTTTTCTTTGTACGACTAGCCCAATCAACGCTCGAAGCGTGTCCACAACAAGACCGACCAATTCCTAGCGTAGTTCTCCCCGATCATGAAAACGCACACCAACACCGCAACCGCTCACGCCCTCCCCAGATGCGTTTTTCCGACGCATGCATGACAAACAGAAAAAAACTGCCACGCGTCGGCCTACACAATACATAGCTAGCTCACCGGCAGATCCCAACATTCGGGTTGTTCTGACGTGAGGAGCGAGTGCCGCGATCCCTCGCACGCAAGGTCCGAGAGCCAGCACCCCTGGGGGGGCCCCACAGGCTACCGTCGCCTCCCCGATGGTCTCCTGGTCGCCGACCTTCATCTTCATGCCGTTCAAGAAAGCGCCGTTGCCACTCGTAGCCGTGAACAGCTCGTCCCGGAACGGGTCATAGATGCAACCTGGGGGGGGGGGGGNAACAAACGTGTGCGCGGTCGTCAGCGTCGCCGGTTGACTATTGATTTTTCAGTTTAGTGCTGTGCCAGAAGTACGTCGGTCAAAAGATTAAGATCCGAGCACAACTCGATTTGCGTCAACGTTGCCTTCTTCACACAAAGCAGAGAGATCAAGAGCCACCCAAGAAACGACAGCAGCACTCGCGCTTTTCTTACCGACAACCACCTTCCCGCGGTAAGCTACTCCAATCGACACAGCGCTGAGTGGGATCCCGTGAACGAAATTTGTCGTCCCGTCGATCGGATCCACGACCCACAGCCATTCTGCCGCGCCTCCCCCATCCAGGGCGTCGGAGAGCGCCAACGTCGAGGCCTTCGCCCCGGGCTCCACGTTTTCCTCTCCGAGCAACGCGTGGTCGGGAAACTGTTTGGACACGACCTTCTCGATGACCCGCTGGCATTGGCCGTCCACCTCCGTGAGGAGGTCCTTGGGGTTGAACTTGGTCTTGAGAACGTCCGCGCCGACCTTGGCCTTCATGAGCGCGCCCGCCTCGCTTGCCGCGTGGACGGCGGCGGCGAGAATCTGGCGTTGAGGTTTTTGGAGCGGAGGCACAGGGGTGTGCAGTTGGGCTGCATGAAAGACTGTATACAGATTTGATAGATTTTCTCAAGAATCTCAAGAAATTTCTTTGGGCTGTACGAGGTTTGTAATTTCTCTGTGGTGTGGTTGAGGTTCGCTGGGCGCTTCGGGTCAAAACACATCAACTCCTGTGTGAGTGTTTGGGCTTGGGAAACGTCACAAGCAACATAGTAGCTGGCAGCCAGCTGTAGGTTGGTTCTGCTGCCTGCTCTTTGTTGCGTCATCCTCCATCACCTCCCTCGTTGACACCGCTGCGATCTCATGAGCCCTCTCCGGCGCTTGTAGTACAGCAGTGTAAATGTATCATTTCGTTTTTTTTACTTAGCACGTCTTTCTCTAGTGGCAGGACGGTGGGGTGGGGTATGGACGGGTGCTCTAGTTCCTTGCTAACGGGGGCACCACAAGTGAAGTGGTAACCTTTCCCATGTGTGTGTGAAACATCATCTCATCCGCGCGGACGACGAAAAAAAACGCGTATGTCGAAAGCGAATCCAACATTCATACTGGATCTTGAAAGGCTTTCTTCGCCTGGAGGAGGAGGAAGGAGGAGGAGGAGGAGAGGGAGGAGCAGCAGGAGGAGGAGATAAGGGTGTGTTGGTTGTGGTGGCCACGATAGCGGGTGAGGAGGCCGGGGGGTGTTAGCTTCTTGTAGCTCCAGATCTGTGCCGAAACGGTGCAACTTTTGCAGGTATTGCTTGCTGTCGTTACAGACTACAGTGCCGGCCCGCACTTAAGCATATGGCACTTTAAGAATTTGATGCTCAAAAAGTCCAAAACTTGAGAATTTACCGATAAGAGCACGTGCTCAGCTGCACGCCCTATTAGGAACAAGAACACACACCTGAGGTGCTGAAACTGCTGCTACACATAAGAACGACAGCAATGCAGCGGGTGCCAGATAAGATTACTCGCAGGGGGGGGGGGGNCTCGAGAGGTGGGAAACCGCGTCGCTGACAGCTTCTGATCGGCGCGTCCTGATCACTCAATGGATGGGAGCGGCCATGACAAGACTCAACAGCCAACAGGCGTACCGATACCGTCTTTTCGAAAAGTGCGGGATGGCCATGACCGTGGACGGCTCGGGCGATGATCGAATCACCTTGGAGCGTTTGGACAAGCTGTATACCTTCGCTAACGATGACGACAGTAGCGACGACGAACAAGGTTCGGAGAACGGCAACGATGAGCCTGAGGGGCGGGCGGAGGAGGGCGATGGAGGACGTGAGACGCTCATGGAGGGCGTTGACTCCAGCGATGAAGACGACGGCGGTAAGTTTGTTTTGCACAAAACCAACTCTTCATCTTCTTTTTGTTGATGACGATGTCCTTCATGTTGACGTTAGCTTGTTTCCGCGCACGGCTACACTCAAATTATGATAAGTTCAGGTTGAGTTTGACGACGTGACACCCTAACTTCTTGTGTTTCCCGTTGCCTCGTTCGCAGACATCTCTCAACCCCAGACCGACGAGCTAGCTCTGCTGGACGACGACGACAGCATGGACCCACACGACCCGGAGGATGAGATACAGGGAATGGAGATCCTGGCAGGCTTTCGTATTCAAGAAGCCAAACCCGTTGCTCTTGACAGATTGCTTTTGCGGCGTGGAGTGCTCGTTAGGCTGGGCATGGGGTGGTTTGGAGGGCTCATCACTCAACAATCTCAGAAGGACACTCGCCACCTGTACGACTACTGTGTGCAGCTGGAGCTAGACCAGAGTACGCGCATGACGAAGTTGCCCTTAGACAAGTACAGCGGAGATTCGGATACGGCGGTAGGCTCCTGGGTTTTGCTTGAGAGCATTTGTAGATCAGGAAGGGTACGCAGGACCAACGTCACCCTTGTGGACCAAGAGTGGACCAGAAGGTTGACAGTTGCTGCTCCATGCCTTGGTATTTTCTTGTATCGACAGCAGTACTAGTGTTGCTCATGGTTGACAGCCGACAATATAGCAAATGATCTTAAAATACTGTAAGAAAAATAACGCCCATTTCTGGAGAAGAATGGACGACGAAATAAGAACTTGACAAATAAGAACTGGTGCTCGGGTTGGGGCAGCCAATACGAACTGAGCCTCGCCCAATATAGGAGGCGCTGTACATGACTTCTCTGCATCCACCCATTCTCATACTTAACCCACTCACTCTCTATGTCACAGCCTTTTTTCTCGCCCCCAGCCACTCCGGCAGAGATAGGGTTGCACAGCAGTACACTTCCCCTCCCCGAGTCGCTACTAGACTACTGCTGTCTTCGTAGAACCAGACAACGTTCTAATATGTACCATATCTAGATTAATAATACTGGCTGCTGTGGCGGTATTGGTACCGACATGAGGTCGACGGTAAGGTGAATGTGGGTAAGGGTAGGGAGAGGTGGAGTTACAACCTCACCTCCGAAAGTGTCTGCGAGTCCGGCACTACTCCTTCCGCAGCAGTGCCGGGTGCCCGCTGGGATGCAACACGCGACAGCAACGCGTGGCGCGTAGGCTGCTTTGTCGGGTACCGCTGGATGGCGATATGGTCGGATCTACTGCTGCTAACAACAAAGGCTGTGCCGCCCGGCAAGCTCAGAAGTGCCGCGGTGAAAGCGGTCGCACTCTTCATCTTGGCCTTGCTGCTGTGACGAGCACGCAGTCTTTCCTACTGGAGCTGCGACCGACGAGTCCGTCGCTGGTTAGAAGTAGAGAACAAACAGCACTATCGTCATCGCTGCCGCGCTGGCTCCTGGGGGATCCGCGAAGAAGAGAGCGTGTATACCATTTCGTTTCGAAGATGTGTCCTAGCTGTGTGTACCTCGCCCGCCCCCACTGCTACTGCCGCTGCAGTGCTTGACTACTGCTTGGCTGTGCTGTGCTGCATATATCGATACGCTCTCAAGCTCGGAGGAGGCACATTCCCACCGGACAAACCGCACGTGAGTGGTCTTGTTTCATACTCCGAGGAAATGCCCTCGTGAGAGACAAAGAGAGATTTGCGGTGCCTTCAATCGTGCAGCATGTGTTGTTCCGAACGGCGCCAAAGTTCAGGCATCCGTTACTGCTCGTACTTTCGTGCTTATCTACTCTATTTTGTTGGGGGGGGCGTAGCACTTACATCCCGTTTTGCGAAAGTGCGCAGCAGTAGTGCAACTGCATAACGTCGGTGTGTAGGTTCACGTCGGAGCCGGTTCTCTAGTTATAGTTTTCACCATGACTTCCCTTTCTGTGGGAGTATCCACTTCGGAAACAAAACCTTCAAGTGTATGCTACATGCGTCCGTCAACATGCCATCGGTTCGCATTTCATTTCCTCTTGTATGCATATGCATTCGGTAGAACAGCACCGATCGGGCCGGTGGCCTGGTAGATAACCGCGTAAATCTGCTATAGTAGCAGCAGGTCGTGAGTTGGATTCTCTCTCTCTCTTGAGTGGTGAAAAATAATATTCCGAGTAAAAAATTTGCGGAGAGTCTAAAAAATACGGTGTTGTAGATAGGTAAAGAGACGAATACACACAGCAGCACTCACGCTTCAAGATCCTCTAATTAGCAGAGGACCTATGCACCAAACGCTCGTGTGTTTTTGGCTCTACCTCTCACTGGTGCTATTTGACAGGGTTGCCTCTATCGTTGCCATTCTTGAGGAGTAGTAAATACGCGTGTACCAAAGATTTGCCGCCAGGTCCTGTACCACGCGCGACGTTTTGCATTTTGGTGTCCGCCGCCATCTTCAAGTCTTTCAGAACCCAAAAAAGAGTCCCAATGAAGTGTTGTTATTCGTTTGCGGGATGCACCAAACTTTGAAAAGCCTGGACTGTTGATCGATTGCTCGCCGTTCCACTCCGCATGAAGCTAACTCCAAACTGGTGATGCGTTGTAAGCAATACTTCTGAACAGCGACGTGCCCGCGCGCTTGGGTTTGTGCAGAAGCGCCCTTGGACTCTGGTGTATACCCACACAAGACTGCGGCTGTGAACGGCGCCAAGTCTTTGAGAGACGGACACCGTAACTCTACTGCTGTCGTTCTACACCCGCTGCTTCTACCTCTACTGATACTGATCTACATCAACGCAGGGCCAGGCAAGGGCCCCACGTCCTCCGGGTTTGCTCTCGAGGGTGGTATGTTAGGCAGAAGGCACTTGCGCCTGGGCGAGGCGCTCAGCCGAGGGCTGCAGCGCCGCGCGCCCTCCTGGTGCGGGCGAGCGTCCAGTACCCAAGCAGCAGCCCTAGCGAAGTCCTCGGCCCACTACGACCTGGTCATCGTGGGGTCTGGGCCGGCGGCGCAGAAGTGCGCCATCGAGAGCGCCAAGTACGGCAAGAGCGTGTGCATCGTTGACAAGTCCAGTCAGCTGGGAGGGGTCTGCGTCCACACGGGGACCATCCCCAGCAAAACGTTCAGGCGAGCCTCCCGCCGTCCCTCGCTCTTACTCCCCGCGCAGGGCTCGCATAGTAGCAGAGCCGATGCCCAAGAGCTCTGTGTCCAGCCAGCGTCCGCAAGAGAACGCGAAGGGGCGTTTTGGTTGCACGAAATGGTCGAATGTTGTTGAGAATTTTTGGACAGATGGCAGCGCACAGAGCATACCCGCATATGTGGAGGGCTGGTATTGTTCCGGCAAGGGCACATCAGCTGATCCCACTGTCATGTGCTTTGCTCTCTGGTGAAGCCAGTGTTGCCGGAAGACTGCTGACACGGATCGTATGGAAGGGCGCCGTTCGCACCCTGTGCGTAAGTGCCGGTTCATCGCACGCCGCCGTCACCGCCACAGGAGTGACTGCTGTGAAACCCTCTTGTTCTCTGCCGTCTTGTTGGTTTCTTCGCTTCATAGTCGAAGTCGACAAGCTTTGCCCTTCGTATGACGCCGCACTCCTTTTTCCAGGGAGGCCGTCCTACATTTGACAGGGTGGAGGCATCAAGGGTTCTACGGCCGGTCTAGCCAGAGGGCAAGGGCGGCAGTGGCGATCCCTGACGTGCTGGCCAGAGTGCAAAAGGCGAGCCTGTCCGATTTGGGGATTTACAGCCATATCACTGCTCCGATGGTGCTTATTTTTGTTGACTGATTTTTTTTTAACACTAAGCACCTCCCTACTACTAGCCTCAACACGGCCAACCTCCAATTTCGGAGTGCATTGCACGGTCCGTTGTGTCCGCCAACAGCAGTGATGTTTTCGCGGGTGTGATTATTTTTTGTACAGTGTAACCGGCGGTGTGTTCTAGGCAAAGAACACAAGGGTCGCTTGAGTCCTGCTGCTGGCAGCGGATAGTTGCTCTCTTGCAGCCGGGACAACAAGAGCACAACCGCTGTGGATGCGTGTCTCCCTGTATTGTTACCCAGCTGATCACCGATCGCTGCTACACGTCACCCGAACGGTTTTATTGCGGTTTTTGGTCCGGGGGGGGGGGGGG